GATTAGAAATTAAGTGTTAACGAGCAGTTGGACAGGTGTACCTAATAAAGTGGCCGGTGAGTGTACATTCACATAGAAAATTAAATAGATTTGTCTTTGATATTATTTTTTTACATAAGAAACCAGGGTGTCCGGTTAAAGTAGTTAAATCATTTGAAACAGAACACCTGACCTCATACCTGCCAACATCTGCTGACAGCAACGAGGAACATCTGTTAACCAGCAGCTGTGGAGTGAAGCAGTTCTAGGGGGATCCAGAGGCATACTCCCTCAGAAAATCTGTAAAAGGTCTACTCAAAACTATGCATTTTCCAACCATTTGAAGAGCATTTTACTGCATTTTTGGGTTTAATAAAACATAAAATCAGTGTTTTGAAAATAGAACACTGAAAACCAGACTTTAACCTGAACTTCATCTGAGATCATAACTGAAACTTCCATTATCCTTATTTTTTTATTTACACACTGAGCACCAGTAGCTACTTTTATCATGAAATATCCTCTGCACCATATAACACCTGGCAACACAGCAGCTGAGAAACCCACAGAACATAAACCTGAGTGACCAGTGATTATTCTACAGAAGAAATCAACTAAACTCTGACAGTTATATATTTTTCATCCCTCATTTGTTGCCCCCTGGATGCACGGTGCCCTTAGCTTTAACCTACACTGCCTATGTCACAGGCTGACGCTGCCCTCATGTATCTAAAGCTTAATGAAAGATTTTATTTCATGAGGAAAACAAAAACGAGGATGTCTTAACGTCTATTTCTTTGTCTTTTGCAATGACCCAAGCTTTGTGGAAAGATTACACAAAATTCTCAAAAGCATATGTATAAAAGAAGGTACGATTTCCTGTAACTTCTGTCCATCTTTTGCAACCCAGCAACAGGTGACACCACATCTGCTGTAATTGTTTTCAGGGTCAAGAGGGCAGCCCAGGGATGATTCAAACTACTGCAGCAGCACATCTGAGAGCAGCTTTTAGGCAGTGGCTAACTGTCTGGGTTAGGGTTAGTACTCTCCTCATCCTATAAGACAGCTGTTTGTTTCATCTGGACTGGAGCATTACAGCAGCTGGACCTCTTGGTGGCACCAAGGAGCCGTCGGAGCAGCATCTGGCACCATGCCGGAGGTCAGAGTCCCAAACCCTGGGAAAAGCAGCGCTTTGTCCATATAAGGCTGCAAATCCATCCGCTTCCCTCTTCCTCTGCCTTTCTCAGACCTGAGGGATATTTACAGAGAGGGAGCGCTTCAGCCAGCCTGTCCCTCCTTATTAGGAGCTCAGCTTGTTGTCAGGCCTTCCAGCGTTCAGGACAGCGGTCCGTCTCTGCTCCTCCAATGGAACAAACAGATGGAGAACTCGAGTGCCAGAAACACGTCAGGGTCTCAGTGCTTCATCCAGCACTTCTCCCCTCCTGCTTCCAGCCTCTGGTGATGCACAGTTCACCTGGGAGCAGCAGCAGATTGATAGAACAGCACCGACGTTACTGTAAAAGCTTCCGTGGAGCTCGGTTTCCTCTGYCCGACTCATGGAGGGCTAACATTGCAGCTGTTGTCTTTTCTTCCCCTCCGCCCCACATCCCAAGTGATGTAGACCATCTGGCTATGAGCACACAGAAAAAGTGACACTTTTCTGTGGATGATGCACGAGGACTAAAAACACAAAGCGAGAAGCTCGATATGCAATAAACAGAATGGATCTACTTGTTCTGAGTCAAAACATCTTTTAACTCCAAAACCACCTGGTGCAGATAAAAACCAAACAGCTGCAACAAACTTCCTTTTTATTAGGGTGCAAACATTCATTTAATATATTAGAAAACCAACATGTGAAGCAAGGCTACATGTTTTTGTTTTACTTCAAAGAGTATTATTAAAGACTAAACACTTAAATACAAAACCATGCTTCTTTATAAGAGGAATCGACAATAAAAAGCTATCTAATCTTTCTCGATGGTAACAATTAAAAACCAGCCGTAGCATGCTGGACCAGGACAGAAAAGTCATTTCAGTGACCTTTGAACTTCAGCCCTACTCCAGAAAAGAAGCCGGCGTGAGAAGATGCTGCTCCGGGCCTTAAAGGTTGGTCTTCTGGAGGACGGGAAAACCTCGCAGATGTTTAATAACTTTGCAAAAAAGTAAAGTGCTGTGGTCGACTGACCTGGTTCTTTTTTTTTTCTCTCTCCTTTTCTTTTTAAGAGCAAAAGAGTTATGTCCGTGATCACAAAAAAAAAAAAAAAAAAAGGACGTGGGGACGTGCTTAGGTGGAGGTAGGTTCAAACACTTACACGTGAATTAAAAAAAAAAAAAATAACAGAGCTTCATGGACTTCCCCTGCCGTCAGGATGTTGATTACAAAAGGCAGTAAACGTGCTTCAAAGCTGAGCTTGACAAGAAAAACGCCAAACAAAAAAAAAAAGGAAGAAAAACTCTAAAAACATTTGTTTTTTTAGTGGATGGAAACTTTGTGAATGTGTTCACAAAATAATAACAAAAAACATACAAAGTGGGTGCTTTAAGACCCAATCTATTATGTGTGCTTAGTGGAAAATGAATGAAAGATGCATGAATGCACTCATGGGGCTGTGTGCAAGATGATGTCCCTCCACACACACAATCACTGGTCTTCTGTCTCCACTGAGGGGGAAAAACTGACAATTAAAAAAGGCACAACAGAGACGTGTCGGCTATTCATACAGAGGCATCAGGTTCTGTAGTGCTCATGGGTGAAGATCTCTGTTTCTGCTCTCCCCCCTTTCAACTCTTTGGCACTGAGAGGAATGTATGGAAGAAGAGGGGAATGGATGGATGGATGGATGGATGGATGGATGGAGGGAGGGGGAGAGGGGATTCCCTGGAAGTTGTGTCTGTCAACCTATTTGGAGAGTTTGCTGATGACTCGGATCAGTGCTCCGTTTTCATCTTTCAGACGTTGGTTGTCTGCTCTCAGATCCACCAGAACCTACATGGAAAAAAAATAAAAAAATAAAAGCTCAAGTTAAAGTATTTTAAGCTTGAACTTCATTTAAATTAAATATTTAAACTAGTGTAACCTGGTTAAAACTCACAGGAGGCAGTGACCCACTGTGATAAAACATTTTACTGGGCTGAGGCTGTAGAGACTCAATGAACACAGATTACGACCAGGTAACCAGCGAGGCATGTGGCCACATTTTAAACCAACAACCAAACCACTAGGTCGTCTCMATGTCCTCTCTCACTGCATCCAGATATCCTCTTTATCTTTTTCCTGGCAGCTGCATCTTTAACATCCTTCTACCAATATACCCACTGTCCCTGCTGGACATGTCCAAACCATCTGTCTGGTCTCCAACTGTACCTCCCAGCTGCCCAACCTGTTCTGTACCTCTGATGATCTCATTCCTATTCTTATCCATCCTTAGTACTCCCAAAGGAAAACCTCAACATCTTCAGCTGTGACACTTCCACAGTTTAATCTACAGGAACCCCCAATTTTAAAAAGACAACTAGACGAGTCGCCTGTAACATTTGTTGCAACTTTTTTTGAACATGTTCAAAATTCATCGATGACACAGTGGGTCTCTGTGACTTAATGTTTTATCATATTACAAAATGTGCATGTAGGAAACAGCAGAGCACAGAGTCGTGCAGCTGTGGACAAACAGCAGAACTTCAGTTGATTGCACAAACATCAGCCAGAACTCCAGGAAACCCAAAGAATGGGGTTTACATTTATTAAATAGTACACATTATTAACTGTAATCTAAATTTGATTACAAAATAAACTTTCATAGCTCACCTAGTCATTTTTTTCAAACCTGAAAATGTACACAAACAACAACAACAAAGAGAATGAACGTTTCAGTCAAATTAAAAGCTTCGATGCCTCTCAGGTGAAACTGAGTCATATCATCACCTGAACAGTGAAAAAAAAGTGTCTCATCACACTTAAAGCCAGGCTAAWGAAGCGCACACACGTCAGTGATCACAACAAAAAAAAACCTGAAGCATCCTCCCACCTCCCTCACCTTTAGCTCCTCCTCCAGGTCTGCCATGCGCTGCTCCAACATCCACCGGTCCTGGAAACGGCCGGGGTGAAAAAACGTGAAGTGGGGAGGGAGGGTGGGAGTGATGTGGAGAGATAGAAAAAAAAGGATCACAAATAGTTGAGTGAAAAAACAAGTGAAGAAGTGGTTTGAGTGGTTGGAGAGAGAGGAAAAAAGAAAAGGTGTCAGACAGCAGAGGTGGCAGCAGTGAAGCTACACACAAAAGAAATCCACCCCAAAAACAACGTGAGCGTCTTACCTTTCGCTCCAGCTCCAGCAGGGCTGAGCAGTCACTGAAGCGCTCCTGTCTCTGTTGGACAACAAAAGTCATCACCACAACAGCAGCTGCAGACAACAGCAGCAGCTGACAACCACGTGAGGCTCTGCGCGTCCAAAGACAAAAATAAATCACCTGAGTCGCTTTCTCCAGCTCCAGCCTGGTCTGACTGATGACCCTCTGAGTGTCCTGCAGCTGAGCCTGGAGCTGGCTGTTTTCTCTGGACACCTCCTCAAACAACTGACACACACACACACACACACACACACACACACACACACACACACACAC